GATAAGTTATCCGAAAAATTATTTGATGATTTAAATATTATATAATAGTTATAATTAACAAAAGAAAATAAATAATTAGATAACTTAATTTATAAATATTTTTACACAATTTTCATATAAATGAATGCATATCTATACTACTTTATTAAGCATTTTCACTTAAAGTCTTAAAGTCTTAAGTTTATAAATACCCAAAATACCCCTTTACCTATTATCCTTTACTACGCCTCTTCCTTCGCTCCTGGCTACCCTCCCAAGACGCCWCTTCCACTTYCGTCGCTCCCCTCCCATATGGCCATACTCGAATACACTCCATCTCTCATCCCAAAGTGACGATTCAAAAACTCAGATTATGATTCAAGCTCCATTCAAAAGCTTCTCGATCCCTCGATCCCTCGATCCTTCCATCGCTTCTCAATCCAGGTAATCGATTCAACATAGAGTACAACTTATTGATTCACATTTAGAATATAGGTGGCAACACTACTCTAAAAAATATCATCTTCCCAAATACGCCTCTCCTTTGCTTAGGTCATAAGAAATGTGGAGATCTTGAAACGACACATGGAAGGGCATTGGTTTCTGGTTTGGTTCTCCACAAATATGGCTGAAAATGGCGAAGAAAAACAAAAAGGTATGTATCTACAATTTTCTATTTGATCAATAGATAGGTGTTGTTGAATGAATCAACGATTTTTGTGGAGAACCAAACCCGAAAACAAAACCCCTAAATCTCCAAAAGTCATTTTAAAACAGAAATTAATAGGTAGGTAGGTGTTTTATTGAATGAATCTACGATTTTTCATTTGATTTTGCTATCCAGGTCGCATTTATTTTTGTTAACACTTGAAGAACAAAAATATAGCAAGAAAAACTGATGGAGACGAAGTCTCTGTTGTTGTGATGAAGAAGAAAATGCCTACTCCACCAGAAAATAAATCAATCCATCTTTCAGGTAATTATTTGGTTTGCATAACTTTGATTCACTATATTTTCTATGAATGGGTTTGTTACAATGGGTTTGTTCTACTTGAATCTTTTGGTTTTCCACAAGAATGATATCATATTATGTTATATGTATGGAAGCTAAGGTTTGTATGAAGTAGGTGGGTCTAGCTTACTTGGTCTTTAATCATCATCACACCAGTACATTTATCCCATTTACAGCATCCTTGTATCTTTAATTATCTCACTAATTTGATTTTTAATTTTTTGCCAGCTTTAAACTCAAATGTTGGTAGGGATTCAGGTTTCACAGCATCACAAAGAAGATACCTTCCTTTCAATCTCACATCATCACCATTAACCTTCACATGTGACAAGATCAGAAATTGGAATGGTTAGTTCTAGGAAACATCATTTGAACTTCATTCATCATGCATCTTTTTTTTTAATTGACAGCAAGTAATGGTTCTTGTTTGATAGGTAGTATATATATATATATATATATATATATATAAAATATGTATAAGTCATGTGTAGTTATAGATGGAGAATTATGGAAGTCTCTGTACTATATGTTATTCATTTTGTGGTATGGTTGTGCTCTCTTTGATTACCTTGCTAGGATCCATTTGATTAACAATTTACAATATGGAAATGTTGTTGGATGCAGGTCGTTATCATATTTGGTTGTGCATTTGGTAATTATCTATTTATATCAAGTCTCTTGCATGCATAAAATACATTTTTTAGCCACTTACTTTGCTAATTGTACTATATTTGAAGCATAAGGACCACGTTGAGGCGTTTGCAGATTGAGTAAAATTCTCAGACGGCCTCTTATACTTGAATTTAATTTCTCATAGGTAGAAGAATGAATAAATGAAGGTTTGGCATCGACAACTTTTTTCAAACGGGACTCCATCACCTGGCTCTTCCATTAGACTTTAGAAAAGAAAAACCAAGAGAAAAATGGTAAAGAAAACCCCCCAAAGGTAACAGCTTTTGATCCCACTATTAACAGCTTTTGGTCTCTTGTCTGATCCCGTCATATCCTACACTTTCGATCCCACAGATAACAACTTCGTTGTTGAACTTAAGTTACATTAAGTTTGATTACCTTGTTTACTTCAATGTCATCAGGGACCTTCAGAATCTTCTGCTTCATCCCTGTCTTCCTGCATACAGTTTCTACTAGAAATATTTCTGATACATGGAGTCCGTTTTGCAACGAGGACAGTAAGTATGATGGCTTGAAAGATGAAAGGGGACCATACGCCGATATGGTAGAAGTCCTGAAAATAGGCCTAGATGATGATGGTTTCAATTATGCGGAGAAGATGCTAAAACATTTCAGGTATCTGAAATTATTATTACTTGATATCTTTCAATTGGTTAGTTCCCCTGTTTACTTGAATTTTTTTTTTTGACTTTGTAGAACACTGATAAAGAATCTTGACAAGATTGACCYTGGAAAAATGAAGCGTGAACAGAAGCTTGCGTTTTGGATCAAACTTCATAATGCTTTGGTGATGCATGTAGGTGAATTAGCCTCAACATGCAAACATTAAAATACAAGTTTCTATCACAGTTTGTTTCTTGCAGGCACATTTAGCATATGGAACTCATAATAACTCGAGGAGTAATTCCATTTTGAAGGTAAATTAAGCTTGTGCTTTTTCTAATTTTTTTCCATACGGAGCTTGAAAATTTTATTTTCTTTCAGGCAACTTATATTGTGTGTAAAGAGTGTATAAACGCATATATCATACAGAGCTCTATATTAGGAATACGATCTCACTTCAGAGCCCCGGTATGCCTTTTATCTTTATCTCATCGTCATCTTTTTACCTCAACTGAACATGATAGGTGCGAGACTACAAGGCACAGAACGTATTTCAGGATCTGAGACTTGCTAAACAAGAGTTCATATGATCAACTGTATACATCCACAAAGAATCAAAAGAAACATTAAAGGTAAACCTGACAAGTACATATGTTTGTTGTCACAAAGATATTAGTTGTCACAAAGTTGTATATCTCGATACGTGATTCATTGAGATGCTATTGATGATAGAAGAGTCTTTCTTCCAATGACTTCTAGACATAAGATATTAGTTGTTGTGCCAATTGGAGAAGACAATTCCAATAGGGAGCATCTAAAGAGTCTCTATTCTCTTTGATGTATGAAAAGGTGTAAGAAAGTGTTTGATCAGTGATGATGTTACAGTGAAATTTGATTGTCCACTTTGCTATGCCAACTCAAATTCATGTTCTTGTTATTGGTAATTACGAATACGTCCTGCAATTGTGTTTCCGGAAAATTTGATCTTCAGGTTTGATATAGCATTTCGGTTCATTTACCCCTGTATCACTGAATGGTCATTCATTTTAAATACATTAACAAATCTTTTAATATATGTATAAATGGCTTGGTCTAAAATTATGATTGTTTTGTACATGCAAAAGTGATGATGCCATCCACATCAAAATCGTATTGTTGAAAACCCAAGAAGGTCGAGTTCATTCCAGAACCCAAGCAGCCATGGCAGGTGGAACAACCAAGAAGGAACTGGTTGGATCTTCCATCAGATGTAATGTCCAATATACTTTCCAGACTTGACGTGCTTGACATACTTGAGAATGCCCAGAAAGTGTGCACTACTTGGCGAAAAATCTGCAATGATCCTTCTATGTGGAGGGTTATTTGTATGGATAATCGGTATAAATGGTACATGCATAAGGACGTTGCCATGTATAAGCATGCTGTGAATAGAAGCCAAGGCCAATTGATCGATATCACCATACCTTCTTTTGGTGATGAGATTCTTCAATATGTTGCCGATAGGTATGGGAATTTATTGGAATTGTTTATTTGTGATTATGATTAATGCCAAAGAGGCTCTGTGTTACTTTTTTATCCATCAGATGGTTCTAAATTGTTCAGTTATAACATAATGCATGTTTTGACTTTTACCTCTCCATGGTCTGGTATAATCATTCAAGCAATCAACTTCTTTTGGTTAATATCATTCGGTTACTCGGAACCAGCTTTACATAGTGTCGTTCCGAGGGATATCATGCAACTTTTCATTTACATTTATTCGAATTTTTCATCCCGCTGCATTGCGCGGGTACACAACTAGTATATATATATATATAATGGTATTAATTTTCAATGAAAAATTTGATATAATTAATGGTAGTAGTCGTGGTGTGGAGATAGTAGTGGTGATGGTCGATGGCCGACATTAGTTATGAGGTAAAGACAGTGGTGGTTGGTGGACGAAGGTGGCTGTGAAGGACATTGAGATAGTGGATTGGGGTGGTGGTGGCGATTGACAACGGTGGATGATGTAGTTATGACCGATCCAGTGAAGGTAGTGGTGGTGGTGGTTGGTGGAAGTGATGTGGCAATAGTAGGTAGTGGTGGTAGTATGGACGGTGGTGGTTGTGGAGGTCACAGAGAAGGTTGTTACGGTAGAGGATAAGTTGGAGGTGGCCAACGGTGGTAGTGTTGGTGGCAATAGATGGCGGTGGTCGATGGCCAACGGCGACAATAGTGGTGGCAATGGTTGGTGGTCGTCTGTGATAGAGGTGACGATGGATGATGGTGGACGGTAGTTATTTTATTAAAAAATAAAAACATTATCGTTTTTTCAAAACCACATAAATTGTATTATGTCGACATAAATAAAAAATAAAACGAAACATTGAAATCGAAATGTGTCTCGATACATTACACGAGTACCCTTTTAGTTTTTAAAATATATATATATAAAAAGACGAAATGTCTTATTATATTAAAAAAAAAAAAAAATATATATATATATATATATATATATATATATATTATTATATTAAAAATGGGAAAAGTATGCCGATGAATTTTAACTGATCTAAAAAGTATGCCGATGAATTATTAAATGGTTTATATTTTAATTATTTATAATGTGAAAAGCTGAAAAATAATCTAAAAAGAAAAGTCCAAAAGGTCAAGCCAAAGAGATGCCAGCTAAAATCTCCCAACCACACCTACACCCTTTAAATTCATCTACACGCCTTTTCATTTTATCAACTGATCGCCTTCCTTCCTCTTTCACTTTTGGAATTGAAAGAGAAAAAATCAACCACAAAAATGGTTCCTTCTTCATCACCTATGCTGCTGGTGATCGCGGTTATGGTGATGCTCGTCACGGCACAGGCGCAGACGCAAACGGCGTCGTGTGCTTCGAAGCTAGTCTCGTGTATAGACTACCTGAACGCCACTACAACGCCGCCGAGCACGTGTTGTGATCCGATCAAAGAGGCGGTGGAAAAAGATCTACCGTGTTTGTGTAACCTGTATAAGAATCCTTCCTTATTCACTAAACTCAGGATCAATATTACTGAGGCTCTTCGTCTCCCTAGCTTGTGCGGCATCCCCAATGACGTCAGCGCCTGTAACGGTACTTAGTTCCTCGAATTTGTCTCTGTATATTGTTTGTTTATTTGAAACTAGTTGCTACTAGTAATCGTTTTCCTAAATTTTGATTTACCTTTTTCGATCTTTTGATATCGATTCACTACGAAATTGTTTGATTCAACACGCAAATCGTTGATCGGTACGATCATTTGATTTTTGAACTGATTATTTAGAATGATTAATTAAACAAATAATTGTGCTGGATACCTACAAAAAAACTTGAATTGATTATGTTGTTGAGGTATCGCTGGATAATCGCAGTGTCTTACTGTCATATGAATTAATTTTTTTTTACCGTTGAATGTTGATGCAGCTGATTCCCCAAGTGGATCCAAATCTCCACTAGGTACCATCATCTTCTGACTACATATTTTACCAAAAAATGTTTAATTTTTCTTATTACGTTGATATATTTAGATCTACGGCACATTTATAATAAATTAAAATACCAATTATAGTTTCCTCAGAAGAAGCACGTGTATCATGGAGCTGGAGGGTAGTAGGGCTGCATCATTTTTATGTATATGGATAAAAATGTAATGGTTATTTAAAATCATAAATAATAGATTTTTTTGAAATTTGTTTTAACAAATTCAAATAATATAATATAATAGAATCATAAATTTGAAATTATTTTAATTAATATATTATATTTTTTCTTTTTTTTATCATATTGTTTGTATTAATTAATATCTTATATTATTAGAGATTTGTTTTAATTATATTTTGAAATATTATAGTTGATTAATTTTTTAAAATATCATTTTTGGTCAATTTTATATTCTTATTAGCTAGTTTTGTCCAACATGATTTGTTTATCAACTAGCTTATATGCTATCATCATCTGGCTTATCAGCTAGTTTGTCAAACATAGCCTTAACATTTCGCTAATATTTTTGTTAGAATCAAGTCAAATCATGCATTAAAAATGTAGAAAATTTTCAAATCTTGACACATACAGTTTTATAATTATGTAATTATTACAATTTTTAATTATCAAAATGACAGTTTTGCCCTTAATTATTGTTAGAGAAATTCTGCTATTTATTTCCAAAAGTAAACACTTATTTTATAACAAAATAAAATAGTAAGACAAATGTTTGTTTAGCGTATAGAAAATTAAGGTGCAATTAAACTACAATTGTTATCTTTTGAGTATTTGTCAAGTATTGTGTTTTAATTTGGATTGGGTCAAATTCTCTTCAGAAAGTGTTTCCTTTTTCTTCCCCTTTCCTTTTCGGTCAAGAGTCCATGAACCTGGAAGGCCGCTTAAATTTTCAAACATTGATTATTGTCATTGAATTTATATTAGAATATTACATTTCTTTTCAAACATTGATTATTGTTATTGAATTTATATTAGTATATTACATTTCTTTAATATTTGTTGGTGGATTATTAGAACATCTTTATTAACTATATTAAAATAGAGTATTTAAAGATTTAATAAGTTTATTATTCTAATATTTTAAGAATCATCTAAAACTCTATGTAAGAAACATAAATTATATCTTAATCATTTCCAACCAATAAAAAGTATTAAAAATAAATGTTTTGACAAGAAAATAATATTTTATTAAATATTTAATAATATAATTAATATTAGAAATTTAAAATTATTAAAATAGAATAACTTGTAGAGTTGGATGCAATTTATTTAAAGTTTTTGGCTTTTATTATCTTATCTTAAAAAGCATATGATATAATTAATGAAGATGTTCGTAACAAAAACAAATTTTTTGTCCTTTGAAAATAATGTTGTTTAATTATGTGTTGTATTTTCGTAAGTATATTACATAAGTAAAAAATATATAATTCTAATATCATAGTAACTATGAATTACATTTACGCATTGACTTGTAGCGGTGGAAACAAATCAATTATGTTAGATCTGACTTGGTCAATTTGTTGGTGGGGCGGTCATCAATATTGACCAAGACTTTGGGTTTTTATTGGTCATCAATTATGTTAGATTTTTAAAATGTTTGAAAATTATGTTCAGATCCAAGAATCTGTTTATAAATTTCTAATACATATATTTAAACATTTAATTTTAGAATTTTAATGGGTTGGAATAATAGAAAATGATTTTTGCCCTCTTAAGCAATTATTTAGATAGTTTTCTAAATTTGTATGTATATCTAAGGATCATGTGAGAATAGTTATTAAAGTTGAGAAGTATAATTGATTTGAATATTTGATCACTTTTAATCTCAAATCAACCTATGAATTATGTTTTAGAAGAGAATTTGTTTGATGTATCTTATTAGTGTTGATCAAATGTTTTTCTTTAATTGGGATTGATCAAAGAGTAAATATCTTTTCTAACCCTTCTCGTGTAACTTTCATTCTCACCGGAAGTCCAAAACTAAACCTTGTATATAGATGTGCATATATAAATAATGGTGAATAGGGAGGACGTTCGTTAACAATTACTTAAGAGAATCTTTACATGTTAGGTTAAGGTAGACGCCATTGATGAAACATGTTGAACTATTAGATGTTAGTCTAAGAGGTCGTTTACCAAACGTTTATTCAGTAAGTGTATACCAGAATATTTATCTTATCAGATAAACATGACAGTAACCAAGAATTTTGCACGGTAAGAATGACAGCAAGAACCTAGGGTCTTAGCTGACCAATTTTACCTGGTTAGAGTTTATCAGGTAAATTGTTGGTGAAGCTGCCGTTTTGATAGACTAGATTATCATCTGGTAAAGTATATGAGAGTGTTGACTTTATTGATAAGTGTTTACCGGATAAATATTTGGATAAATGACGACTAATTAAGTTTATGGGCATCATGAGAAACATATGCCCATTTTACTATAAACAATGAATTATTATCATATTCTTATTAGTTAGTTATAACATGTAAGCTAAATCTGAAAAAAAGAAGAAGAAATGGGTTCATTAATTAATTTTGGATGCAGGGTCTGCAGGATCTGATAATGGCGTTGCCAAGATTGCTTCAAGTGGGATTGTTGGATTGTTTCTGATTTCGGTTTGTTTCATGTTATTTTAAGATATATAAAAATGTAGTTGATTCATTATTGTTATAGTAGACATACTACATACCAGTTTATGGAAGATTTTACTTGCTATATAAATTATAATTCTTCATTTTCTATTAAACCACATATATATGTCGATTATCTAATATACTTTGTAAAAAAAACTATGTTTTATTTGGTTTGGAATATTCTTATCAATTGGCGGAGGCACAATGAAGATTGTTGCAACAACAATAGTTCTAGAGGTAGAGGTAATGGTGTTTGGTGGACTATGGTGGTTGGGGAGGACGTGAAGGTGGTGATAGTGGTGGTGTTGGCGATCGACAATGGTGGAGGAGGTAGTTGTGACCGATGTGGTGGAGGTAATGATGGTGGGTGGAAATGGTAGCCGATGATGGTGGTGGTGGGCGACAGTACTAGTGGTGGTGGCTATGATAGAGGTGGAGGTGACCCCCAATGGTAATGGTGGTGGTGATGGACAATCGTGGTTGGTGGCCGATGGTGGTTGTGGAAATGGTAGAGGTTGTTATAGTGGAAGAGGAGGTCGAGGTGGCCGATAGTGGTGGCAGCGACGATGGACGATTGTGGTCGGTGGTTGTGGAGGTGGTAAATAGGTTGTTATAGTGGAAGGGGAGGTGGAGGTAGCCGTCGGTGGTGGTGGCGACTGCTACTAGCGATTGTGATCATTAAAACAAATGACGTATCAAAGTTATATATCAAATGATGATAGATTATTAATATTTTAGTTTTTGTCTTATTCCTATCCCGTCTTGTTCCGCATTGTCCCACCTTGTCCTGGTTGTCTGTCCCTGTCTCATGTTATGCCAAACGTGGGATAATGAGTTTTTTCCATCATGTCTTGTCCCATATACCAAACACAGCCATAGTGAATGATAATGTATGCGAGGAAGAATCTATAGATAACCAATTACGTCAACTAAGTTTGCAACCATCTTCTAGCCAAGTAGAGCGGGTTTGTAAGTGAGCGCGCCAAGTTCAACATTTTAGACGATTCCAATATTAGAATCATGGGAGGACATTCCTTGGATCAAATACTTGGATATTTGAACCATTGAACAAGTAGAACACATTTGCACAAGCATCACACATTCCATGTCTACATTTATCAGACAAAAATGTTGCATGCGATACCCTTTTAATAGATTAAAATCTTATTCGATAAGTTAAATGAAAGTGTTAAATTAGTAAATGTTTATCGGCTAAAAGTTGGTAAAAAACGCTAATCAACATTATCATAATATGTAGATTTTTAAATAGGAGGCAAAATGGGCCTGGAGGAGTTGACACTTGACTTGACACACCATTACCAACATTTGATTGTCCATTTTTAAAATTTTATGAGCAGTAAACGTATTACTTAGAATTATAAGGATTGTATTATTAAAATAATCATTTAATTTTTATAATGAAACAATGTATGATGTAAACGTTTATGCATTTTTCGAACCATTTGACTGTTTTTATTTTTTGAGTTGATAGATCTAACTTATTATAAATAAAATATAAACAAAATAAAATCATTTTTAAGTAGATGGGTTTAATTGTCGGCTCTAATTAACCGAACCAAACCAAACTAAACCAAAACCAAATAAAATAAGTAAATCCCGCAAAGAATAGGATATGAAAATGGTAGAATTTACATAGATCTTGCCTCTATTCAAAATAATAGAGGAGATATTTTCGTGAAGACCCCCATTTTATGTTACCTTTAAAATACCCGTTAAAGATTCATATTAAAAGTGGTAGTAGCTATGTTTGAAACCTTTTAACCTATTTTGAATGGTTTTCAATATTATTTATTATCTTAAATTTAAAGCAGGTTTGGAGATCGACCTCTAGGTTTGTCCTGTTTCGTTTCAGGTATCCCAGTCCATCTATACAAGAAAGGGTAAAATAAGACCTTGTAAAATCTTGTCGAGTTGCATGTTACATCCTCATAAACAAGGGTGTTCATCGTTTCACACCAGATAGAATTGGGCAAAACCAATCAAATCCAATATAATCATCCATTGTATATTAAATTATGATAACGGTTGTATCAGTTTAACGGTTGATGAACTGATCCAACCAAATGCATGAATATGTTAGATGAAGCTTTCATTAAATATTACTATTCGTTATTTATCGAATCATATTTGACCCATTTAATGTTTTTAACTTCCATTTTTTTAAACCAATTATCCATATATTTCACTTAAAGACACTACTAATAAACAGTGTCTACACCAAAAAATCACACATATATTACTTCATACTTGAATGTTAATTCGATTAAATCAGTACGATTTTATTAAACTTTGAACTGTTATCCAACAACCGATTGATCCATTTTGATCTTGAAAATTTTGGATTCGATCAAACCCGATTACAATTAAATATCTAATTTTGGTTAATTGATATAACCAAAGCAATCGGTTACAATTAAATCAGAAGTTTTTTTGGACACAATATTCATAAAATCTATAATTTTAGATATTTTCAAACATACAAAATTATAATTCACCTGCTAATAATGAATATTGTAAGATAGTCAAGGGACTATTTTTGAAAATTTCTTCAGAGCTTTTGTAAATGGAAGCTACTAGAACAATGTATGGGTCTTAAGTCTGAAAGTCACCTCAAGCACATCGCCAGTCGAAAAACCGCCCCCAACACTCTCTATCGACTTCGTTAAAGCCTAAAACCCTAGGTTTTTCGTTTCTCCGGCGAATCTACAACGGCAATGGACGCCGCTAAATTAGAGCAATTAAAGCTATTTGTCAGCCAGTGCAAGTCAGATCCCTCCATTCTCAGTGATCCTTCTCTCTCCTTCTTCCGAGACTATCTTGAAAGGTAAATACGTTTATACACTATGGGTTTTTGTTATACGTCTCAAGTTCCTGATTGATTCTGTATTGATGATTAATTTGTGTGAAATATGTTTGATTTTTGATTTCAGCCTCGGAGCTAAACTTCCGTCATCTGCTTACAAGAGTGAATCGGTACCTCTTTCTTACTATGTTTTCCTGTATTTTGATTGATTAAAGTCGTTGAGAGATATATTTGCTTGATTGGATTTTGTTTTTTGAAAAAAAGACCTAATCTTTTATCATCGTGTAACCCTCATCTTTCACTAAATTAGTTCAGTTAGACGCATTAATAATATCCTATTTATCAGTAGGCAGATGGATTGATTCTAGGTGGTTTAACATGTTATTTTTGAGTCAAACGAATCGACTTTGGAGTTCAAAATCGGTGTAATGTATGCAATTGTTGCTGAAGATCATCTTCAGAAAAGTAGGAATGTGAAGCGAGAGTTTAGGACTCGGTTGATTATAGATAGAATTTTGGGTTGCAAATATTCATTCAATTGATGATGTGAAAAAAGTGGATTCTTGGTTCAGTTCTTCTTAACGACAGGAGAAGTGGATTGATGAAATTATAAAATGTTTATGAGTTTGACTAGGTGATCATTTAACAAAGAATGACTCGTTTAAGTGATTGAACAAATGGGACCTTGCAGAAGTCTTATGTGGTGGAAGAGGATGATGAAGATGTAGAAGAACCTCAAGAAGAAGAAGAGGATGAGATAATAGAATCTGATATTGAATTTGAAGGTGAAACTGTGGAGCCTGATGATGAGCCTCCACAAAAGGTCTGTCTTTGTTTCTGTCATTCATCTTTATGGCTTGCAATGGTGATTTTGTTCTTTCTCATAGCTTGATTTGATGTACCTTTTTAATCTTAGATGGGAGATTCTTCCGTGGAGGTCTCGGAAGAAAACCGTGATGCTTCTCAGGAGGCAAAAGCAAAGGGCATGGAAGCAATTTCTGATGGTCTGTTGCACACATTTTCTTTTTAGTGAATTGGCGGTGCCTTTTTATGTCAAGCTGTACTTTAAGCGGTATAAAGTTGTATGTGCTCTTTACTCTCAATAAGCATCTCATTGCTTGGCGTAATAGGTAAGCTAGAGGAAGCCATTGAGCATCTCACTGAGGCGATACTGCTCAACCCTACCTCTGCTATCATGTACGCGACCAGAGGTAAAACTGAGTTTGAGTTTTGACGAAGTTTTCCATCCTTATTGTAGTTTCTTGCAATCTTGCATGTGAAATCTCATGTTCTTTTTTTGTTTCTTTTATGCTATCACCATACAGCTTCTGTTTATATCAAAATGAAGAAACCCAATGCTGCCATCCGAGACGCTGATGCTGCGCTACAGGTAGTCTCCATTTTCCATAGATGTCGACCAGTGTGGTAGGGCTGTCTTTTCTTCTTTTCAATTCTCATTCTTATTGTCTTTTAGTTTTGTATAGTTGTAAAAGAAATGCCTTTACATCCAAATAAATGAAAATTGATATAGCATGTGAATGAGATGAGTATTATGAACTCCTCATGTCATTACTTTTTCCATCTGGAATTGGCAGTTAAATTTTATTAATGATATAAGCTGCACTTATGTATATTTCCTGTTGTGAAATGATGATCACTGATCATGGTTTAGAGTTTTTATATTATCAAAATTTTAAATCTCATTCCACATTTTTCCAATAAATATTTCCAGATAAACCCAGATTCTGCTAAAGGTTATAAATCACGTGGGATTGCACGATCAATGCTTGGTCAATGGGAAGAAGCTGCTAAGGATCTCCATGTAGCATCAAATATTGATTTTGACGAAGAAATAAGCGCCATTCTTAAGAAGGTTAGTCATCCAACATAATTTGTATAACATTCTGCCCAACATTATAAGCCGCTCTTGCTCAGTAGGTATAGAGACCGAACTTTTGGTTTTCTTGTATAATTTTTCCACGGCTAAATTTTGCAGTAACTTATTCTGTTTTTAGAAAACCTTGAAGCTCATCTCAGTGTGCAATTTAGGTTCACACTTCATAAAACTAGTGCAAAGATTTTTGATCTATCGACAAATTGACAATTGTACTTGTTATGGTAGGGTGGTGTGGTACATTGTAGGTAACTAAGCTCTTCTTTGGTTGGGAAACTTCACATGGTGCTTTTATTAAAAGAAAATTGGTTTTTGCAGATTGTATTTTATTCTTGCAGATGTATCAATTACCTCTTCCTAACTAATTTATGCATCTTGATCATATTTCCTGGTGCATTTAGGTTGAACCCAACGCACACAAAATTGTGGAACATCGTAGGAAATATGATAAACTCCGGAAAGAGCGAGAGGACAGAAAAACGGAGCGTGAGAGGCAACGTCGCCGAGCCGAAGCCAAGGCAAATTTTATTGCTGACATAGTTCTCCCTTGTTGTTTCTGGTTACCTTTTTCTCGTTTCTGCTCTGATGCTTTGTCATTTTATGCATAGGCTGCGTATGAGAAGGCCAAAAAGGAAGAAAAAGCATCTTCAAGTGAAAGAGCTGGGGGAATGCCAGGTGGTTTCCCAGGGGGGATGCCTGGTGGGTTTCCTGGGGGAATGCCAGGTGGCTTCCCTGGTGGCATGCCAGGCGGGTTCCCTGCTGGAATGGGGGGTGGAATGCCAGGCGGGTTCCCTGCGGGAATGGGGGGTGGAATGCCAGGCGGGTTCCCTGCGGGAATGGGTGGTGGTATGCCCGGAGGTGCTACTGCAGGAGGTGGTATGCCAGGAGGCTTTCCTGGAGGTGGTATGCCGGGTGGCATCGACTACAGTAAAATCTTAAATGTGAGTATTCCCAAATTTGCTAATTTATACCAAGTTCCTTGGTATGGTCTGTTATACACTTGCATACATTATGGCTCATAGGCCTCGATAATCTGTTGGCATATTTTTATTATTTGGACACATTCAAGATTTTTAGATGATGTTCTTCCAATCACTGAACCATGCCTCACGAAGCTGCAAAATACATATATGTATGTGTATGCATATGTATAAATGCGTATGTATGTGTGTATATTGTTTCTTGCTTGTTTTTCCCCATAGATGTATAGTAATAAATCTTTATAGCAACCTTGTACTTGAAAATCCAGATTTTAGCTGATGATTCAAGTATTAAAAATATATCATTCCAGAAAATTCTAGTGTGTTATTTGGGATGTGGTTAAATCTATCAAAGTAAATGTTTGACGTGATCTCTTTTTCTGCTTTTTCCAAATCTCTGCAGGACCCTGAGTTGATGGCAGCATTTAAAGACCCTGAAGTAATGGCTGCTCTGCAAGATGGTAAGTTTTTTTTTACTGCCCTCCTTATTATGTTATCAGCTGATTTGTAGAAATGGGGTTTCACCTTTGGTGGTAAGAGTTTTATTGTAAACCACCACCGGTTTAATGGGATATATTGATAAGTAATCCAAGTTAAAAGATTCCGATGCTTTCCTAAATTGTTCCATGAAGTTATGATAAGGAACAACATGCGAAAGATTATCAAACAAATGACGATTGTATTCTGTTGTCTTAAAATTGGCCGAATTCTTTGACAGTGATGAAGAACCCAGCTAATCTAGCAAAGCACCAGGGGAACCCGAAGGTTGCTCCGCTTATTGCGAAAATGATGAGCAAATTTGGTGGACCCAAGTGAAGCGGTTAGTGAAAAATGAGCTGAGGTTCTAACAGGAAGTGCCAAACCCAAGGTACTTGAAAATGGTTCCAGTTTTCGTTTCTATATGACATGATGTATTTTAAATGATGGTTAGATTTCGATTTGTTCAAACAATTTTCTGCATGGGTTTAATTATCAGGTATGGAATGTGTTGTTTGTCTTTCTTCTTTTAGCTCTGTTAACAACCGTTGAACCAAATTCATGGTTTCTTTCCAAGTTTGGCTCAGTTGCTCTTTTAATAGCCGCACATTCACATATCATCCAAGGGTCGTATTCCTGAGATGTGCAAACCGGTTAACTGGTCATGGTCTGGGTCATGGAGTACTGTAAGCAGTTTCTGGTCAGGGCTGGTTTTAGTTATCTGTGGTCCAGGTTAAGGATTCCCATCGGTTGGATTTTCTCTATTTTATCCTACACTTTAGCATAGCCGTTTGAGCAAAAACGCTCTAATTTTTTTTACCTTGGCATAGTTGTTGGAGATGCATCACACATAATCGCTCTCGACTACTGACCTACATAATAATATCCAATTAATGAAAAAATCAACAAAAATCGAACTGTGGTCAAATCCGACCCAACCTAAAGGGAACGCCATGTTCATGTCTTCTAACTTATCTCCTACAACTTAGGTCAAAAGGGTCAAAAAGGACAAACTTGATTAATCTCGATTAAACGAGTTCCAAAACTCTAGGCAACAATAATCAAAATGGATCAATATTGGCCAAACCGGGACGGTTAACATTCGTCAACAGGTCAAATGGAGGTCTATGCAACCTCCTAGTTCAAGGCTAGTCTTAGTGCTATGAGATCTTGCATGCGAGCTTCGAGTTTGCGTTCCCTTTACGACTCTGATATTTGGCTTGCGAACCAGGTCGTATATGACTCCTACTTTTGTCTATTTGGTTCTGCTTCACACACAATGTCATTGCACTCAACAAAATTCATCTCTAATTCGATTTTGGAAATTAAATGTCCATTAACACCATAAGATGCTACAAAAAGATTTCATTTATCCACAATATGCATCTTCGTTTCATTCATAAATGCTACAGAAACATTATACATGAAAACAAGTAATTTAGACCATAACTTGATTTCACTGTTTTCTTTTATGTCTTCTATTTCTCTCTGTGTTTCATCGGCTCCTTCCAAAGGGACGAACAATGGAAACGGCAACCACCCGTTGACATTTTATTCCAAAACCGTTGCTGCTCATGTTTCTTAGACTCCCTACGTTTTAAATTCGTTCCCGTCTTTCATGAATGACATAACCATAACCATAGATCTACTTACTTTATAAAATTTTAAGGTGTTACATTAACAATAACATTAACAAAGTTAAAGAATAGTAATCCTTTAAAAAAAAAATCAATAATCACAACTATGTAGGTTGCCCATATAAAAAGAAACCCAAAGCAATTTTTTAGATTATCCTTAAACATGTACTGAAAAAGGCTTGGAGTTGGTGACCAAAAGCAAAAAGAAGTACCAAACAAGAATTAGACATTTTAGGAGCCCCACATTGCAATTCTTGAAATATGGGTGTGGCCATTAACTTGGAAAGTACTTGCACTTCTTTTTTCTTCACCAAACTCCCCATTTTTCAAATATATTTCCTTTAAAGTACAAATGTCCCACTTTTATTTTATCTTCATTTGACCACTTCACATATTTTATAAAATGACTCCCTCTCTTTTCAACCGTACTCGAAAGCCCGTTTGAATATGACAACAAAGTCGAGGATTGTGAACGTGAAGCGATTGAACTGCAAATTTTGTGATCTTTAAAAAGATCTGATTACCTAAGATGTGATCATGTCAAATAGTGGTAAATGGATATTATAATGGTACAATCTTTTACTTTTGAGCTACATTTATACATTTCTAGAGTCTATTACCCTACTTTTAAAGATTACGTAATAATCATGATTAGGAGTGTTGTTGTGTTTAACACCTTTGGAACTTATAATGTCTGTATAATATGCCCTTAAGGTTGTGGTAGTGTCACAACAATTCAAACGAAAATATGGTATCTTAAGATTTCTTCTGTTCATGATTATGATTAATACGTTTTTTTAGATAATTACTTTGACAAGTAACCCCCAACTTTAGATCTGGCTTTGCTTGCTTAGTACATAAACTTCGGTTTGAAAACAATTGAGATGAGATACTGCATCAAGATGACCACTATTACCAATTCTTTTGAACACCATAATTACAAATTTGATCAAGATATCTGGATAAATGTTTTCAAAGTGATTATTATGATGTTCACATATCAGAATTATATCATTAGCTAGTTAAATTAGTTATATAAATTTGAATTTATACGCACAAAGTCAATTTTCGTGCAACTACTCTTGACATGGTTCTCACAATTTGAGTATATTTTTAGTCCTAAAAGAATCAAAAAGTCATAATCATAGGTTCAACAAACTATGTTGAAATACAAACCATCTAGTTTTTAAGTACATTACTGAGTACTGATGTTTGTTGAACGCATCAAACCTTTTGGACAAGTTTCTTTGATGATTTTTGATTAAAAAAAATGGAAGTACTTAATAAGTTTTTATCAGTGACGGAAAAGTAACCATGAGGGCAACAAATGAATGCTAGAAAGTTCACAAGCTTTTAAGGGAAGAGCTCCGTGTTGGTAAGTAGTTCAGTCTTTCAAGAAGAGATGAAGATGGAAATTGCTCGGTGGGATATCAGTGTTTAATCATATGTTTAGATGTCAAACATAATTATAAAACTGAACTGATTAATTTTAAGATTTCAGATTCAATAAACCGAGATTTTATATTACATAACATTTGTATCAACAGGCGAAAACTACAAAAGGTTAATCTGATTGGACTGGTTTATGAGTTCTAAAAACATAGCACAAATACCATAAGGCTCCCTCAATTTCTTATATGATGCACAATACACCCTTAATTATATGGTTTTGAATGATGACGTATGTATTACCCTTGATAACGTCATTAATATGAATTAAATATTCACCTAATAATAATATGTATTTAAATCTTATTATGTTAGTTTAAGTGTCACTTTAAGACATGATTAATGGAAATTTAAGTCATAAAATGATGTTGTGTGGTCTTTGGATGCTCATCATCTCAACAAGTGGGAGAGTGGGACGCTTTAATTAATCAGGATTAATTAAATTAAATGGGAAATTATTAGAAATTAATTACGTATCCAAATAACAATTTCTTTAAATGATTTATTTATTTTAATAAAAATGACGATTTTATATTGTAAATTTTTTATTTAAATTCAAAAACTGATTTACTGAAATAAAAAAAACATTCAAATTAATTATATGAAATAATTCTAACCAAAAATAAAACTTGTAGCATATTCCAACATCCAAGAGTTTATATAACAATTTTAAAAGTTTAAATCATTTTTTAAGTAACATTTTTTTTTTAATTTAAAGACCAAACAAAAAATAAAATGCATTTATTTATTGCAGTTTATGATTTTATTAATAACAACAAGATATTTAAAGTAATTAGTTTTGAATATATAGAACTTAATCATTTTAAAATTTATAATATCCATAAAAACTTCTATCTTATGAATTTGTTTCAGATGATTTTTTTTATCTAATAATAACATTCAATGTATTGATTAACATATATTTATTTTACAATGTGTTTGTTTCATATGTATTTGATTAACAATATAAAACTTTTTAACGTGTGCTTTTAGTTTCACAAACGTGCATAAACAGGTTGACATTGTAAAACGAATATATGTGAAACAAACACATTCTGAAACAAATATTTGATAGTCACTATATTAAATTCTAGCCAAATATTCGTATAAATAACACATAATACATTTTTTTCCCAGAGATCTCACGATTTCGAGAGTTTTCAGAATAAGATTCTCTTAAACTTTTTTTGAGTATTAAATATTCTTTTTATAAATCAATAAATTTTTCCAAAGAGAATTTTTTCTTAATAGGAAGGTTTCCTTAAATGAATATTATCTTAAAATATTTTTTTCCCCACAAATACGTGATCAAAAAATGGTTATACGTTTTCAGAAATTGTATGTCCATTTTTTCAATACCTTTTTTTTTCCTTGTTCGATAACTGTTTAATTGTAATTTTATTGTTATTTAATTAAAATATAGTTTTTATATGATTGAATGTCACTTAAAAATTTGACTAAAAATTACTGTAACGAAGCATAAGTTTTAAAAAGATTTTGATTGGATTCTTCTTCCTGATATTGAAACTATCGACATCGAGTGCAAAAATTTTTAGTTCTTACAAATAAATACTCAATACCTAAGTAGGCTTATAAAATAGATCGTGATATGATCAATTGCTTTCTGGGTCGTCTCTGATCTTATGATTTGTGTTTATCCCCAAAAATTTTAGAGACCTTTTACAAACACACACAAAGGATTTGCTTGTTACTGATATAGTCTCTGTTCTTCTTTAGACCATTTTTCCACTCCGATAGTATCGTAGATTGCGTCAATGCATAGGAAATGAATGCATTTATATACTATTAATTTCAATATGAAGTTAAGTGAACTAGATCTTACGGAGCCTGCTCATGTATGACATGATTCGTATCTGATCATAGAAAAGATTCTCTTCAAGCGAACCGATCTATCATCTGTATGGGTTTGTTTACGTGATGGTTGGAACTGTTTCTCCATTCTTAACATTTTTGTGTTTTTTATTTGAATCTAACACCCCATATATATATATATATATATGGAATTGGATGAGAAGACGAGTGAGAAAGTTCAAACTGGAAATGCAAATAATGATAAATGTGGTGGATTTGTGAGTTTGCATCGAATTTTGGGATCAAATACAAAATATGTATCATTGTTTTTGTTTTCACCTATAATAGATGAAATGTGGATCGTTAAATACAATTATATCAAAATGGCTTTATGTCACACCCCTAAAGTCACCTCAAAGAAATATAACATCATGTTTACTCTTCAAAAGATAACATAACAACCAAATTCATACGCGACGAAATCTCACTAGTTACAACATACACAGGAATCCACTTATTTAGATCGTCAACAAGATCCCAAATATAACATATTTGATATCATTTATGTAAGGTCAGATATAAAGGAACAAGTAAGCGGGTACTAACGAGACTAAGGTTAGGCTTGCCCTT